TATAATTGAAATTGGAATATGTGTACGCAATAAAGCATTTGCAGTGGCATCGGCCGGGCCGGTGAACGACAAAGCGGCCTCAGAATGTTAACCCAAACCCGAATACTATCCCATTGAATGCAGTTTCGAGTGCATTCAGGCATTGAGAATATCATTAACAATTAACTTATCTCATATATCCTATTGGTTTCATTGAACATCTCAAATAAATTAATGCAAATCTACCTTTCAATCTCAACGAGTACACAGAATGCACATCACAAAAACACTAAAATGAAAGGAAAAAAATGAAAAACAATTTACATTTTATAAATAATATACGAGCATGCGATATCAGCTAAAAAACTACAGTCAATGAATACAAAATGAAACGATAATAATAAAAGCAAAGGGAGTAAAGCAAGTGGAATCTATAATACAATGAACTATAAAACAAAATGCGATGCATTTGCACAAAACTTCAAATACAAAAAATAAAAAATAATAATAAATATTAATTTTCTGATTTATATGCATATTATGAATAGAAATTCAAAAATGTGTGGGGCAAATTCCAAATGAATATTTATGTGTCAATTTGTTTGCAATTAAATGTAACACAAAATTAAATGAAAGTAGGCGAATTTCGCATGTCAATTTTGATTTGGCCAAACTGAAGGTGTACATAAAAAAACTGAACGAAATGTCAACTAAAGATAAGATACGATATTTAATTAACCGTAGTTCTATAATTGCGCTTAGCTCCCATTTTCACTCTATTAACTCTACTCGACTTTGACCTCTTTGACCCTCTCAATCTTTTTCWAACTAACTAACAAAATACACTATATGTAATATCCATAGGCTAGAATAATGAATTGTGTGACCCTAGCAATATGTGTTGGTCTAACGGCAATGCGAGCGCATCACATCTAACTTGAGCATTATATAATATAATTTTAACTTAAATTTAACTTTAAATTTTACAAATTACAAATTACAAATTGATATTGTCCAACTTAAATTTGAGTATTAACTTCATAAGCTGCTAACGGTAATTRTAAGTGTACATTTGTTAATTACGTACTAAAAAAAGAAACAAAAAACAAAAAAAAACAAAAACATGAAAACCAATTATTGCAATTAAATAACAAATAATAAATATATATGTCTGCATATGTATACATATATCTATATATTGAGTGTATTAATGTCTATATATACATAGAGGGTACATATGTATATGTATGTATGTATGTATGCATGTCTGCCAATCGACATAATTCATAAAATACATAACGCATGCATTACGAGCATCGCGCTAATCCGAACAGAGGGCAGCCCCTTGACAGGCGGCAGCAACAAATTGTAAAGCGGCTAATGAAATCAATATCATTTTCATCTTAATTCTGCATTTTCAATAAAGTGATGGTTTTTTACTAAAAAGCAAAATACAATCGAATTCTACTAATTTGTGAATACGACTTTGATTAATCGCAAGAAGGCGAAACAGACAGCGAAAATTGAGTTAGGATTTTCGACATTCCCTCAAGCAATTGTTAACGCTTTTATTCTCTCTCTCTCCCTCTCTCTCCGTATCTGGCCCTCTCATTCTGCGCAATGCTTATAGGGTCCGCCTGGCTTGGATGGCATGAAGGTACACTAACTGGCTTCCAAAAATGTCCGCTTAGATTCTTGGCCTTGTCTAACTGAAATCTTTGTTTTCACACAGGGCGCACAGGGCGAGACGGGACACAAGGGCGAGCGCGGTGATCCAGGTTTGCCGGTAAGTACAGCTATACACACACAGACACACATACGCACACACGCACACACCATTTTCTGATTATATGTAGTACATATGTATCTATACACTCACACTCACACACACACACACACACATGTGTTTTATCTACCTTATGTGGTTGCTAATTTGAATAATATGTGTTTCTTCTTTTTATTATGTTTTTTTTTTTTTATCTTGTCTGCATGCAATTCTGTCTCTTTGTTGGCGTCGTACACTGTCTTCAATCTATGCAAAAACCTTCCACACACGTATCAACCTTTTTGACCCACACACACACACACACACACAATCACGTAAACAAACAAACACACACATACACACAAACATATACGACGATAAAGGGCACCGACGGCATACCCGGACAGGAGGGCCCGCGTGGCGAGCAGGGCTCACGCGGCGATGCTGGGCCGCCGGGTAAGCGCGGACGGAAAGGAGATCGCGGCGACAAGGGCGAGCAGGGCGTGCCCGGACTGGACGCGCCCTGTCCGCTGGGCGTGGACGGACTGCCGTTGCCTGGCTGCGGCTGGCGTCCGCCAAAGGTTAGCATGCGTTTGAACAACCCAAAATATTTCACTTTCTAATTGGCTAAACTAAAACGTGGAACTTTGCATGCGCCACTGCCCACTTATGCTACGTATTTGGCTTTGTTGTTGTTGTTGTTGTTGTTTTTGTGACTAACTCGTTTAACTAACTTTTGCCTTTGCACACTAATACGGACACACGCACACGCACGCACACACACCCACCTAACGAACATATGTGCAAACATAACGGCACAGGAGCCTATCGTCTCAACGCCCATGCACAAGGACTACTTGCCGGATGTGACGCAGCCGGAGAGCAATGCCAGCGACTACGAGCAGGAGGACGAGGACGAAGAGGACCAGCCGGAGGATAATGAAAACGAATATGATGAATATCAGGAGCATTTGCATAACAATGACTAAAAACGGAAACAGCCAAGCCCAAAAGCGACAAAGGGCAAACACAAACACAAACGCAAACACAAACTCAGACACTGAAACATAACCAAAGCAAATAGATCCTTAAACACACCCGTACCCACACACAAACACGCACACACACACACGCACTCACACATATAGAGCTAGACATATACGCACTAGCGACTAGTTAAGCATTTCCGATTTCCGCAGCTGACTTGGCTCCGTTTCGCTCACTGTTGACACATGCAATTAGCGCTAACCGATGCAGAGTGGCTGCTACCCCTAATGGCTAACTGTAGTTGATTCTATTAGCGTACACACTGCTCACTCTAACTCACACTTACACACATCTACACAGTCACACACCTACATACATGTAGCTTGAACGTAACTGGCTTGGCTTGGCTTCGCTTGGTGTTGGTATTTCGAGGTGAAACATACGTTTGGCTTTGTTTCGTCCTTCCTTCCTTCTTTTTTTTTCCATTTTGGTAACAAGATTGGCCATTTTTGGTATACATATATGTTTCGCCCCTCGCAGGAGAACTGGCAGACGTGGCTCAAGGACGAGCTGAACGCGCTGCAGCACACAAAAACAAAAAACTAATTGCCTCAGCTGCAAACGCGTTCGCCCCGCCTCAGCTTGGGTCGTGGACGTGGCTCTGCAATATCCAGACGAATCTAAGCGCTTTGCTCTTAGTTTTAGTAATTTGTTATTGTTAATATAGAAATCGATCAATGCTATGATATATCTACCATAGAACATATCATTCAAACGTACATATGTGCCAAAATCTTTGAGAATCGCTAGAGTTGCTCAGGCAACTCGAGCTCTTACCACAAATCACAAATATTACAGTTATTTGTAGTCCTAATTTACAATACATGCACACCCACATGCATACGTACATATATATATACATACATAAAACTATTTAAATTATAACGTTGTATCTACTACTATACTATAATATGCTACTGCTATTTCTACTACTTTTTCTATTACTCTAAGCAGCGAATCAAAAAATTATTGAAATAAATAATTAAATATTTATATATACAAATTTAATGAAATTTTATTTTAAACAATAAAATGTATAAAATAATAAACTTAAACAAAAATGTGTTTCATTTTGAGAATTTGCAAATTATGATGAGCTCACATTGAAAAGGATTCGACAGCAACGTAAATTGCCGGTGCGCCCTAATGGGCTGAATGAACGGATAATAAGCTCACAAAGGGGTTATTGAAAAACCTCGTATGGCTTTAACAAATAAAAAAAATTAATAAATAAATAAAAAAAAAAAAAAAAAAAAAAAGGAATTACTTTTGAAAGTGATTCTTATGGTACATAAATATTTTCACAATGATATGGCAATTATGCGTGATATACTTGTAATTTGTTGAACTCTTGAATGGTAAGCTCTTGCCATTATATGTAGCATTCCAGCGTATGCCAAAATAGTATAGTACAGTCACTATATAATATTTGTAGATTACTCAAATACTTTCTAGGTCTATCATCAAAGAAGATTAACAAAGGTAAAACCTACTGATCCTGACGAAGTATTAACAATGGTGAATTGTTAATCATTCAATGCGGCTTTCGCCTGTCATTTATCTTGAAGACCGCAGCGATGAGACACCGCGGTGTACCGCTGCTGTTTACAGTAAAAGTATGCATCACAAATTTGCGATCGCTGATAACATTGCATGTGCCAGCTGCACACTTGCATTCTGCAACTCATTTCACTTGCTGTTCCCCTGGTGATTTGGTTAAATTTATAACAACTTTCGTAATCTAGAGACGGAATATCATTAATGATGACACAACTGAGCTGTGCAACAATATAATAAATAATACTCATTAGCGACCTGAGTAAAAAGTTAATAAAACTTTCAACTGCCAACGAGTTCTTAAGAATTTGATGACTTCACTAATTCCTTTATATATAGAAATTCCCAAATATATATTTAAATAAGACGATGTTCATTGCACTGAACCGACGTCGTGATTCATCGCTCCGCTCCGCAATTTTAATCACTAAATTTTTATAAAAATCCAGCTAATAGACCAGGCGAACAGCAATGCAAGTAGGTTCTCCATAAGCATGCGAATGAAACATTTCACTGGACAGAAAAGGGCGAGATTAATTTTCATTGCATACTTTTAGACTGGACTAATTAATATTAATCGGAGCCGCAGTTGAAGCTGAGCTATAGATCTGACTCGAAATTTAGTTAATTATGCGACTGTAAAACTAAATAATATAAATTATAATTTAGAAATTTCGATTAAAATTTGATATTGAACTTTAGTAAGAGTTTCATAATTTTAGTATATGATTTGTATATTATATTGTTTGCTGAAGACTTCATAACAACTAAAAAATAAAAAAAATAAAATAAAAAACTTCCTGAAGAAAGAAATGATAAATTTTATTTTTAGAAATGAATTTAAGAATACACGAGATATTATTTAGTAGCCTGCATGCAAAAGCTTTGCCAGAAATGGTCTTTTAAATCAGACATAAAGCGCGCCACTCAGTAACGGCAATTTGTTACGTGAAGAGAGAAAAATGCGGTTTCGAGTGTAACCTTCTCAGCTCTTTGCAGCGCTGCCACCTGGTTGCAAACTTGTACGCGAACATCTGGCAAACCAGCGCAAAAGCTCCCCTTGCGAAAGCTTTGCCAGCTCAGCTTTCACTGAACAAGCTTTCGCCGTTATTTTGAAGACGGTAGCGCTACTCCCTGTGGAGTTGCTGCCGCTGTGACCACAAAGCTCTCCGTCTGCTGAGCTCGTCGCGGTCGAGGAGCTGCACATGCAACTGCATAAATTACGTAGCCGCCCGCCCCATTGGACCCGTAAATCGCTGAGCAGTGCAGCCAAGCTCGGCAAGTGCAGTACCCGAAGCAGCCGAAGGTTATTTGCGGCACCAGAGAAAATTATAATTTTCATAAATTGCCAACCAATTGCTGATCTTATCGGAGTCCATGGCCTGCGGTAGTTGTAAGGACTTGAAATGGGGGCGTCGGTCGTCTGGCCCCGCCCAAATGGAATAGCAACAAGTAATGGCAATTTGGCCACAAATTAAATGTACCTTGTCGCTGTTATAGATGTTTAGCTTTTATTGTTTGTAATTGGTTGGAACACTTTACATTTACATTTATATTTAAACGCCAGAGATTGGGACGATAAACTACGACTACACACACAAACAAAAACAATTTGACAGTTTAATTGGTATTCAGTTTACAGATAACACGAATTCTGTTCTAATTGAGCTTTGAGATATCATTTAGTTATATATATATATAGACATATATATAAATGTTTATATATATAATCGTATACTATATATAAATATGTATTAGTAGAATATAAAATATAAATAGTTAGACGTTTATCATTTAACTAATTAAGCTACGGATTTAGAACWTTGAATTGGGCAAAATCTGAGTTTACAGTTGACAACAACATTTAATAAAGAACGTCAGAGCTTGAAGGGCTGCTAACTGCTAACTTGGCTACAAATAGTCGAAATCGAAATGGAATTTGCAGCTGCCTGTTGATTAAGCTTTAAATTATAGAATAACTGTTGTAATTTGGATAATCCACAAGTCGGTCGCGGCATCAGTGATAAAGACATAATCGGTCAGGCATTTCCGAACAGCAGTTAGAACGAGGTCTTGCCAAAGATGAAATTGCCGGGCGCGTTGACGTCCTCGGCGGCAAAGTACTCCTTCCACAAGGCAGCGAACTGCTCGCGGGTCACGTCCGTCTGGCCCTGAGCCATCTTGGCGAATGCCTCCTCGCACTCCTTCTTGTCCAGGCCGTAGCTGGAGCAGACCAGCGTGAACTCCGTCACATCGATGCCGCCGTCATGCGAAGCGTCCTCCAAGTCGAACATGAAGTTCATGTATGCGTTCTGCCAGTCCATCACGCTGCTGGGATCCTTGGCGTATGCGTCCCACATGTTGCACCACTCGTCAACGCTGACCTGCGAGAGCAGAGATAGAGATGGGGATAGTGAGAAAGAGAGAGAGAGAGAATATGAGTTAAAAGCCTTCGATCTATGCGTAACGCCCCAAAACACGCCGAGAAGCACATTAGGCGTCTAGCCGCAGGTGGGCGTGGCAGCAGCTCATAAAACATCATAATGGCCAACTGGGGGGTGCTGGCGCAGCCTGGGCGGGGGCTGCTTATGCTAGCCGTAATTTATGCGACCTGCACATTATGCCCCACCGTTTATGAGCACTTCTTTTGCCTTGCCCCATGCGAAACAACAGCAATTACCGCAACATCAGCAATCGACGCCTTGACCAAAATTGAACAGTGTGCGACGCCTTGACCCGGCCGGCTGGTGGCAAACGTTAATTTTGGTCGAAGACTCCTGGCCACAAGAGGTCGGGCCATGTTTTAATGCGGCCATAAATAAGCAAAACAGCAGACAATGTGCGGTCAGCGCTATCAATTGCAGTGCCAATTGACCGAGCCTCCGTGTGGCAGCCACCCTCGCACCACCGGCGCACCACTAACTGCATATTTTTTATGTTTATTGCATCTAAGTGCTGTGCGTTGCCAAATTGAAATGCCAAAAAGGCAGGGCACATCCTTGACCGTGTCTCTGTCTAGCTTAAGTCATAGTAGTTGCTTTGTATTCCTCGGCCTATGTGTGGTGTGTGCGCGTCTGTATGTGTGCAGTTGTAAAATGAGTTAAGGCAACAACAATAAATCCAAGTCTGGACAGCACAAAGCCAAAAACTGCACAAAGGCCACAAACAGTTGACTTCAGCTTATTTGCAGGAAACTTCGTCAAGTTTTTGGCTTTTAGCCAACAACTTTGCGGTGCACGGCAAAGGGGCGGCTCTTGAAGCACCTGTCCTTCAGGTGCTTCTGGTGCTGGAAATTTCGCTGTGCCTCGATTAGAAACTATGGCTGGTTTATAACCATGATTCAATTTGTGCAGACGCAGCCTGATTATGCCTTGCGAATGGATACTTTCCCGTGGCTGCACAAAGCGGTTATAAAGTTTGTCAATTGTAATGAGCAGCGGCCTAGAAAACTAACTGAAGTCGTGGCCCGGAACTGCAGCTGCATTGCTCAAATAATTCACAATTCAATTTCCGTCCATTGTTGTAGATGTGGAATTTGCTTACTGGCACACAGCCACACAGCCCCAGCCAACCACCCAGCCAGCCACGCCCAGCCCTATGCACCCCAAGCCAATAAAAAGAAAATTTATGTACTTTTTTTTGTGTTGTTGCTTCTGTGCAGCGTGCGACCGACTTTGTAATGTTTGCTGCTGCATACAAACATGCAAACATAATCGGTGTGTGTGTGTGTGTGGGTGGGTGTGTGTGTGTGTGTGGGGGCCCACTTGTCAGCTGCTGTCACAATGGCATCGAGTGCAGTCCATGGATTTCAACACTTTTGTCACTGACAATAAAGCCATTCAAATGGCGAACTGAAATCCACAAACGAAGCACTTGACACGCAGTTGCTCTTTTTTGTAGTAGTTCCCAACCACACACACATACACACACACACACACACGCAGTCTGACTGTCCGCTCACCTGGCCATCGTTATCCTTGTCAGCCTTCGATCGGAGACCAGTCCAAATTTCCATCATGACATCGTAAGTCTCCTTGTTCTTTGGCGTGTCCTTTGCCCAACCGCGCAGTTTGCAAACGCGCTGTAAAACAACAACACCAAGAAAAACCCCGAAAAAATGTCAGCATAAATTGAGTTATCAGTTACGAGTTGAATAAACAAAAAACTGGACAAACACAAAAAGGCAAACAAACAAAATAAATAAACGTGAATTGCCAAAATCGCCAAATATAAAAAAGAAAAAAAAAAAGTGTTGTAAAATAAAACCAGTGAAAATACCATGGAAAATCAACATAGCGCCGAAAAGTGCCAAGCCAACTTTTCAGCATGCAGATTGTTGCAGTTGCAGCTATACCCTTGCCGAGTGGGCATATCAATATTGTGATGCAATATGAACTGCATGAAAACTAAGTGTTTTTTAAGTGTGTCTGCCTGACTGCTTTAAAAATCTGCCTGATAGATCATATAATTATTAGAGTAACGATACATTTAGTTTAAGCTCATATAAACAAAACGACTTTATATGGAATGCAATTATATTACGGAATACTTTGTGTATATCTTATGAGCCGTCATGACCAGGTGCTATTCTATCTTGAACAACCTAATTTATTATATATGCTCATTATATTTGAAAAGTCTATGTCATATTCTAACAGTTATGTGTAAGAGTCACAATAAAACATAGAAATATATTTTTATTGATGCAACAAAAATTTGTTAGTATCACCCTTTGTGGAGGGTACTGGAGTACCTCGTATGGTTTCGATAAACATTATTATTATTATTTATTATTTAACATTCCTA